TCTAGTGCTAGAGGAAAATGAAATCCCCACGAAGTGAACAAGGGTCTGAAGTTGATGGTATCGGAGATTTTGCGTCAAGGTGGAGTTTGTTATTCTATAGGTGACTCAAAATCTAATTGGACCATTTGAGATACATCACGAGCGAGACTAGGGTTTACATATGGGTTGGACGGTATAACTTAGGAAATTTTCCTTTTCTTTTTTGAGGCTTATATAAATGGGTCATAAGAGTTTGTAAGGGAGAATGAGAAAGAATTCACACATTCAATACAACCATAGACAAAGGGGATTCGCCTCAATTGCTTTCTATCTTCTTGTTTATCGTTTTTTCATTGTTCTTTCGTAGGGCCAAATTGACAACAGTCTTATAGGCCTCTTACAGAATTATGTTGGGAGGTTTAGAAAACTTTCATAAGAAAATCACTTTTGGTCAGCAAGAAGATTTCAAGAGATGAAGAAAACCTTCTAAAATTGGGTAACTTCTAGTTCACGCAATTTGAAACTTGTCATCTCCTTCGTGAAAATTGATATTGCGAGGATTCCATTTAGACGTGTTCCCTTGATGGCATGAGAACATAACCCAACTGTTTTGAGAGTTTAAACCTTGCGGTTGGGTACGTTGGACAAGGGTCATAACTCATTATCGGCTATAATAAAACTGCCAGAAATCGTCTGTTTTGTAAATTTGATTTTCGTCAGATGTGTTAAGTGTTTGGAATAATTAGGTTTGTTTCTTAATTCCTCTTGGTTTCTTCGGTAGCTTCCTTGGAAGACGCATATATCCTGGTCGAATTTGATAAGCATTGTTCCACTTCCTTCGGTTTGATTGAGCTTCGGTTTTGATATTGGCCTCATCAGATCTACTTTGAAAAATAGAGATGGGTTGAGTATGTATTTGATATCTAAAATAGAGATGTTTTGTTATTAATACACACACAAAATTTCAATTTAAACTGTCCAACGATAACACGAAAGAATAATGAGATGAAGCTTTAGTACCATCATATAATGTTGGAGATAAAACCCATATCAATGGATTTAAACTAAAAAAAAAAAAGCATAAGAAATGGCAAAAAAAAAAAGAAAAGGAAAAATGGACCACCTGTGTGTGAACCGATATGAAAAGGTCCAAT